GAGATTGTTAGGAGAGAAATCGACTGTCCTAACAACGCTAGACAGATCACGTAATAAAGATTAAATTTGCATTATGTTTACGTAAGTTGATTTGAAAAGCGGTACATTCAGCTAAAACGGGTTTCGCTATCCGATGAAGCCTCTACATGTCGCCAAGTCGCTTTCAGATCTTGAAAATATGTGCATATTACGAGACTCGAGCAGTTCCCACAGAAAAGTGGCTGATTTAATTCTGCGCCTTTTCGAGGAGGCGGCAATGCTGCAACACGACGATGAGGAAAAGGCGTTCATATTATATGGCAGAGGACTAAACCTTTTTGCAGGCATCGAAGCGGGGGGCTCTTTCGTAATTCCTCGCGAGGTTTGTTGCTCTACTTTTTATATACATGTAGCTGAGATTACAATGTGAATGTGCCAAAGATACATTCAGTAGGCTGCGAAGAAGTCTCCGCATGCGATATGAAATGGCTCAAAAAGTACTAACCCTAGATGACCTTCCTGTTTGTGATGATCCAATATTCATCGAGTCACTTGAAACGGTATGGTTGCTAGATGATTGCTGACTGTTATTCTCTCCAGAAACCAAAGCAATTCCCCGGACGTTGGATGCCCCCCATTTGGTTATACGAGGCAATCGTTAAAGGCGAGAAGGCTTTTCTAATTGACGTACGATCTGCTGACGAATACTCAACAAAGAAAATTGTGAAAATTCCTCAAATCAATATTGGTGGTCAAATCATCCACGGGTAGTTTCCATGCTCGTATTTATGTTTTGCGAAGTCTCCTACTGTTTAGTCACATGTTTTTGAGGCGTTTTGTTTGTCGTCTAGATGCAGATAATTTTGAAAAATTTTGCCATTGTTGCTAATATTCTAGTCAAACAATGAGTCAACTCGAAAAAAGAATGGATGATGTGCAACGGAACCAGTGGAATTTGCATAAGTCGGCAAAGGTGATTATTCTTCTGGACAGAGACTCCGGTGGTGAGCTGATCAAAAAATCTGATGCTGCTGAGACGTTTCCACTGCAAAGGAGACATCCATTAAAGATAATGTATGATGCACTGGTAACTGTAAGTCCTACAGCACTTAATGTGGACATCTGTGCTAAATGCTTGCACTTAAATTGTATTTGCTTAGGTAATTCTTAATTTCAAATGGTTAAAGTTTCTCGAGCATGTGTCCGGATAGATTTGTACATTTCTGCAAACAAATCAGCGAGTGAATCAGTGCTACCATTTGGGATCATATTACCACCTCGCTAGGGCTACATGTTTCCGTTCTCCTTGAGAAGTGCCGTGGTCATTTGCTTAGTTGAATACCCGCTATTTATGCATTAACCAACTAGCCCATCAGATTCAATGAATCTTCAGCAAGTAGTGCTAATGAACTACTGGGCGCCAACACATAATATTCATTTCGGTTTCCCATGCACACAGGCAGTGGTAGCTGTGTGATCGTGGGACTGCAGTATGGTACGGCGATAAGGAGACGGGAAGTGAAGTTCCACGAGGCTTTGATGTATGATGTCGGTGCGGTTAGTTTGGTGAAACTCATTCCACTAGGTTGTTTGATGTATGGAGTAGTTGTCAGTGTTTCCATCCTATCGGATTTATTAAGGTTGTTCTTACCATGTGTGAGTTGGGTCGTCTTGTGCGGCCAACTTCAGGACCCGGTTTCAAGGCGGTTTATCCATCTTGCAGATATTTTGTGGGTTAATCATTCCTCCCTACTGACTACGCTATGCTGAGTTAATGGGACAAGTATCATAAAAGTGAGAGGTTTTAAGTGGTATTCACGTATATTAACCACTATTTTTTTAGTAGATTGAAACTTGATTCGTAGTTGAAAATATGGTAATGCGTAGTCAGAATAAATGCTTTTTTTTTCATTTTCGGGGTGTTTATCTCCTACTTTCTTTGCCGTTGCAATGGAACCCCACCTATTTATGACTAATTTAAAATGTGCCTTTCAGTACAATGCCGAGAAAACGGCCCTTCCACCCGCGGTATTTTTGTCTGGAGGCCTTAAGGAATTTGAGAAGCGCTATCCTTCTTACGTATCTTCTACGCCCTGTTCCTCTTCTTCATCCATAATCTCCAAATCATCTGGTTAGTATTTTGTTAAAATCGTCGGTTAAATTTCTTTTGACCTTATTTTTAATCCGGTAAACATGCAGTTACTCTCTTAAGGACAGATAGTTTAATACAACGGTGACGTGACTCAATCAATCTACTGTAAAGTATTCCACTGTTGACGGTTTTTTTAGTCAATAGACTGTATTGTTTTCTGACAAGATCAAATAGGATACCCCACCGTTTCGGCTAATTTTGGATCTACGTCACCAACGGAGCTGTCATATAATGCGAACAGTTGCCTAGAGCCGAAAGACCAGGAAAGCACCAAACCCCTCCCTTACTCCGAATTGACGAAGTTGCTCAAGCCAAACGGTTCACTTGGCGTTTCTAAGTCATCCAACGAGCAAAATTCCAGACCACAAACCATCGGTGCTGGTAAAGCACCACATGAACCTACGGTAAGATTAATGTCATCACTGGAGTCCCAACTACTTATCTCCCCTCTGTGTTATTTAACTGTGCTCTTGTTTGGCTTTTTCATAAAGTGATATTTATCATAATATCATATCATAACGAATGGTCATAACTTTTCGCATTACATGAGGCTCTTTTTGGAGCGGTTTTTACTTAATGTCATGAAAGTGGTGGGCGAAAGGTAATCATGGCACAAGTTTGGTCAAGGTTTAGGTGCTTTGACCTCTACTGTGTATGACGTGTGTGAGTTCACTCTGTTTTGCCTACGCCTCAGCCAATTACTCTATTTCCTGGTTAAATATACCACTCATCGTTTCAGGTTGATCGGTCTACGAAACCGCAACTCAATGTCTCAACCGAATCTCCAACTGGGCGACTGACGTATGTAGTTTTTTCTAAATATTTATAAATTGCTTTTCGCTTAAATGAAGACATTTCTAAGTGGTGCTAATTTCTCCCACAACGAGCTGCATTTTGTTTATTCTTGCGACCACGTGTCAACCCATGTCTCGCAATTAGGGTTGTAAAAAATTACTCTTCGTATTTGTTGCCTGAATCTGGAATTTCCTTTTCATCAGTACTTGAATCATAGGGACTATGCTTTAAGCCTTACAAGTTGAGTCTTTCAGTGCAGATTTTGATGCAATGAAAAGTCCACTTCATTCCTTCCATATTGAGCGTTGAACAAGTACCTCCTCATTTCTGCCCTTAATTTGACAATTAGGTTTGAAGACGGGGAAAAGGGGAGGAATACTGTTCCAGAGGTAAGTTGTTCTCTAATTTCTACTCTTCACACGACCACATTCAGATAGATCGTTCAAAGAAGCCCCAAACCGTAGCAGAAATTGGCGGGTAAGGACCTTCACTTTCTCATCTCCTTACTGGACAAAAAATTAAGCACCATGGTTTTTTTTTCTTTCAGATCGAAGGCTGCTAGTTCTCGTCTTTCAAAACCGAATTGTATGTTGTCTATGATTTTTTTCCCAATCACTTTTATGCTTTGTAATGCAAATATCAGTTGAATTCGTGTGTACACGGTGGCTTCTGATTCACTTCATCCTCCGTTTTTTACCAGTACCAGCCATCCCATTGAGAGTCCTCCGAAGAGGTCTGCAAAATTTAGGCAACACCTGCTACATGAACTCTACCCTACAGTGCCTGCTTCATACGCCTCAATTGTGGTACTTCTTCATGGCACAACAACCTTTTCAAGGTCATCTGGCGCAATCGTTCGCCGAGTTCATTTGCGAAATGAGCCAGTCTTCGTCACTTGAAACTTACTCCCCGAAAGTCCTTAAAGTGAGCATTTTTGAAATCCCATTTTTTTGTAGTCTTGTGATTTGAGCATTGCTTTAAAATTCCTTCGATCGGGTTGTTAAATTACCACTTGTGAATTCGACATCTTTATGGCAATCCTTAGCCTACTGCAGTAGTGTGATGCACGAAACCTCACCTCTGGCTCCCATTTTTTTTCATATGCAATAATTAGAAGGCAATTGTGGTCTTCCTGGTTTATTTTTGACATTTAGGAACGTTTCGACAGGTCACACTCAATGTTTGCTGACGGTCAACAGCAGGACAGTCATGAGTTTCTCATGATTTTCCTCGACTCCCTCCACGAAGAACTAAATAGGTCTGAGGTATCATGTGTTAAGACGCTATGCCTTGTTTTGCAATAGCATACTGTCTTACCAGCGGTGCTTCAGCGTTTTTCATTTTCTATCGGTCCCGCGTTTACTTTTATAAGGGAAGGCCTGGTGAAAATAAGGCCAAATCAGAGGATGTTTCTGCAAACTACTTGGCAGATCTTTCGTGGCGCCGAAACCGCGCAAGAGACGATTCCGTAATACTGGATTGGTTTAATGTACGTTTTCCATCATTTTGATGATGCACTTGTATATCACTCCTGCTAACTCAGTATTGTGAATGAGCAGATTTATTTGAGTTGTCGCAGTTGCTTGTAGGGTCAGGCTGCTTTTGGTGTTAAGGCAAACCTTTGCCTTCGTAGTGGTTACTTAATGAATGCAGGAATCATCTCTGCAGGCTTTTTTTTAAATCTCATTTTGGTACTACGAAAAGTATGTTTTTTTTGCATAAACATATCATATCGCTTTCAATTTTTAAGTAAAGTTGGTTGTTTAAGTTGTTTGTGCACACAACACTTGTGTATTTGAGAGTGCTCCATGCATTACTTTGGCAATACAGGGGCAACTGCTATCAACCGTTCAATGCCTTACCTGCAAAAGATCTTCTCATGCATTCGATGAGTTCATGTACCTCTCAGTGTCAATTCAGGGGTCCGATTCCACAGATCTGGTAACACTTCACCTTTCCAATTCTTTTATTTACCCTAAATATGTTCGAGTGTTGGAAGTTTATACTTTGGTGGTAGTTGCAGCTCGACTTTAAGGACTTTGTGCTTTTTAATTCTGGATGCCTTACTTCTTTCTACTTTCACATCAACCTAAGAGTTTTAAAATTACTTTGGTTGGCTGCCCCAGGTAGTTCGTATTCCCCACCGACTGACTTAAAGCGCACTTACCTACTGTCAACTTGTGCCATTCGGTTAATACTTACGTTGCTGTTTATGGCTCATCTACGGAATCGTTTTACTTTACCACAGAGGACGTGTATTAAAGCATTTTTCGCATCAGAAGCGCTCTCTGGCGAAAATCTTTGGCTGTGTCCCCAGTGCAAAGTCCCTTGTGAGGCTGTGAAAACCTTCGGCATTTGGCGCCTCCCTGAATACCTTATTGTCCATCTAAAACGGCAAGATTAAATGTGGTTAAGATATGGTTTTTACTTCTTACCTTTAACCTGTGCCTTTAATGGCTTGAGGATGATAGGCCAAGGTTTTCCACTTGTCTCACTAGTTTCATACCTCTTAATACAACGCTTTAACCATTATCCCAGTTTACTTAACTCGAGTAATCCTTTCAGATTTCGTTCCTACATTATTTGTGAAAAGATCAACTCCTGTGTACAGTTTCCTCTTACTGGCCTGAAGTTATTGGATTTTATAAGGAACCCGGACGCCTCCGACGACTGCACATACGACCTCTACGGTGTCATCGTAAGCATACATTCGTTTCCACTGACATGATCTAACGTTTGTCCCTTGCACAGAACCATCACGGATCTGTCCAATCTGGTCATTGTAAGTTCAACATGCACGTTCTTTTTGGGCTCCACCTGAGTCAAGTGATTTTGCATTACATCGGTGTTGCGACTTACAGACACTGCCTATTGCCTCGACTCGACGGATCATCGATGGCGGAATTTTGATGATTCACGTGTGACTGAACTTTCAGATTCCGAAATTGTTGTAAGTTGGTAGTTTTGCATCGCCCGAGTAGTAATTCCACTCATGAAGATTCTTTGGTTTTCTTTTTTTTTTCGATTTCCCTTTAGACTCGTGCAGCCTACGTTCTGTTCTACAAGCGATCCAGGGTGGTTAAGAAAACTGCATGATCATTTTGATGATAGCGTTTTGAATCCTTACTTTTATTCTACTTCCCTTACCAGACATTTGTATTTTCTGTTGCACACTTGAAGTACCCTCAAAGAAACAGATTGACTCACTAATTTCGGCTCTTCCCAAGTTCACTTAAAAGGTCAACTTTTATTCATCCGGGCTGGACTTAGTTCCATCTCATCGCCTCGCGTGGAGGGCATTTCTGAATGCATATTTGTGGACACTTCGACAAAACCACTAGATTGATTTATGGCATAGGTTGTGTTTCCAAACTCTACTGAGGAAACATAAATTTCCCACTTGACTGAAAATGCGTTCATGTTTTAATGACAGGAAGAGTTTGTGGTCTTTCAAGGTGAAACAATGTTTTTTATTCAGAAACGTCCTAATTAGGGTTGAAGGCTGTGTAATTGACACCTCTGCATCGTGAGGGAGAATGTGCTGTTTCGTGCAGTACAGCAACAGGAAGTTCAACCCTTCGTAAACTCATATTTTGGCTTGTGCTGGACTAAGAGTTGGTTCCATCTGTCACAGTGGGCTTTGCACACACCGAAAGGAAGTGCAATGCCTGTGCTCCTTACCTGCTCTGTGTTGAGTCTGCGTTCGTGTTGTATGTGGTTACTCTCACCGAGGTGAGTGCTGTACCCGTCACCTCACTCACCTCAAATTCCTCTGATACTCACACTGCTGAGGTATTCATTATTGTCTACTAGTTGACAATAATTTGCCACATTATCCAACAGCATTAACATATCACAACGTTTGAATATGCTGTTATTAAAGGTATGTCTTATGCTTGCCCATGAAGTGAGTAGCGTGTAGAATCTTCATTGGAGTGTGAACAAGCTTATTAGCTTTCTTCTATGCATTGAAGTCAGAAAAAGGTGTTTCAATTCTGTGAAATTCCGTGCCTTGTGTTGGTGAGGTAAAGCACTGCGACATCCTGTGGATAACACAAGGCAACTTTAGCCCCTAACGCACGGAAAACACGCTTTAGACAGGATGGTGCTCACCTTCTGTGTACAGGAATGAGTGACATTTGCCTCCATTTACACTCCCTCCCTCCTTCCTCCATCGTTTTGCGAAATAAATGATTCTGCCGATCGAGTTGTCAAAGGGCGATCAGTGAAAAATAAGTCGTACCGATGGACCATAAAGTAGCTCTAATGCTTTTCAGAAGAAAAAACTCAAAAAAAAGAAGCATATCGAAATTGGAGTATCAGTTGTCAAAATGGGCATCCATTTGTCACAAGTGTGTGGATGTTTAGCACACTTAACTGTCCATTCGTATTTTCGATGCAGTGTGCGAAATGTGGTGGATAAGTGTTTTAAGTGAAAACGAGGAGTGAAGATAAAATGTGATGCATGTGCAGTGGTGTGAGCAGTGAGTTGATCAGCAGCACCGTCCTCGAAAGGCATAAAGGCTAGAGGGAGCAAAAAATGGGGGTTGTAGTGTAATGACGCCTTACTGATGCGATTTTTCCTTCAAATGGGCGTCTTGAACTGTGGCAAAACTCGAATCTCGGTCTGGAGGAGTGAGACAGTCCATTCCACACCAATCAGCATGCATTTACATTCCCCATTCTAATGCGCTGTCAGTCCCTCTCTCACCTTTCGGCTAAAAAGGTGTTTTAGGGCAAAAAAATCTCGCATTAAATATGGCCTTAGCAAAGGGGAGCGAAGAAATCCCCATGGGAGTGGTAGGTGCGGTAGACTTTCCTGCCACAACGCCCTCCTCCCTTGCCTCAAAGACGATGCAGACTTGATAGACTAGTACGAAACCATAAGATTAGGCAATCATCTATATGCTCGGGGGCAAAGAGTTCCACCTATCCTTAATATACTCCTCTTCTCGATGGAAATGGACACCAAGATTTCCAATGATTCTGATGTCGACAAATATTGCAATAACTTAGTCCAACTTATCATCAATCGGAGTGGGTAGACTCTTGTGGAGTACTTCTTTTTGACGCTACCTGGAAACTGGTATAGATGGTGAGACATAAGCCAACAACCTTCAGTACGTAAGGAAACGTGTTCTCATAGGTTCACTGGCCATGGAATTTATAAAGTGGGTGACCGTTTATTTTGACACGAGAGTCAAATCATCCTCCAAGGCGTGAGAGAGGGAGAAGGAGCGGAGGGGGGGAACTTTCGACATTAAGGTCAACAGCCTCAGCCAGATAGTCGCGTCAGTGATTGGGAGATAATAGAAACTTCGACTGACATTACTCACGCGAACACTTAAATGCCGGTCATAGTGTGCACCTCCACAACTCACCTCCTCAAGTTTTGTTTCAACACCGGGTGAGTTGTCCCCATTCCCCTCTTACTCACTTCCACTTGTCAGTTGTGCATTAATGCAAGTCACAGATCAGCTGGAGAGATGTCCATGCAATCTTCTGGATGCTTTCCCAAACCTCCAACATAAGATTAAGAGCCTTTCATCTTAAACGATGGAGATAAGCGCTGTTGAGAAAGGTACTTGGATAGTGGAATTTATTGCATTCCCACAACCGAATTGGAATGTGGTTCTTGGTGGAGCAATAATTGACTCTTAAATTTACCAAAGAAGGCCTCTTTTCCACCCATTAAAGCAATGAAGCCAAAATGGTTGTTTCACAACCTAAAATTAAAGCATAAAATATGTGTAACACCCTTTTCGAGGCTCCAGCTATGTTTCCAAACAAGTAAGATGGCCTGGGCTCACAGTTAACGCATGCCCTTGATAAGGGGCTAGGGAAATTGCGCTCTTTGCTGAGTCCGTTGGCGAATATGATCCCGTGGCAGGGCACATGCATTGAAAGCGCTGAAACTGGTTGCTGTTGAGTGAGATCATAAAACTATGAAGCTCAACTTCAATCCCTCCGATCGCATTAGTAAAGAATAGCGATAGAGATCCAAAAGAATGCATCAAGCATAGAAAGCTGAAGGTCATGACTAGGAATGAGGCGTTCTCCTTACCTCGCATAAAGGATTCAAAGCTCCAACACTGGAAAGTGAGATTGGGGGGAGGAATAGTGGGTGGAGGGATGTATTTAACATTGCTAAGCAGATTTTATGGATTTTGGGCGATGCCCTTCGCATCAAGCACTTTCTGATGTCGAACTCAGACAGCGTTAATTGACTTTATTGCCTCGAAACATCCTTGCCCCGAATAAAGGTATCAGAGAGCACCGGGCCAGTCAACTGGTAATCCAAAAAAGAGTGCTGTCCTCTTCAACGCTGACTCACTTTTCTGGAACAAACTGACTTGTCAGACAGGGCGACTGTTCCATCCCAGGTCAACGCTAAATAAGCAAACAGCGCTCTCACTTTCCTTGGCTTTGCAAAACACTATAGCAGGCGTTTCTGTGATTACGTTGCCCAAATTGACACAGGACTGATGAGTGGGAAACGAGCATGATTTGAGGTCGGAAGAAGTGAAGCAGACGCACTGCTCTACCCTTATACCAGTCTAGACAAGATTTTGAAGCCAGTGTGCCGCATGTTACATTGGATGCAGATGCAAGCGATGTAGGGTAGCTGGAATGCTTTCGCAATGAGCCAAAGTAGGAGGAGGAGGAGGAGGAGGTGTGCGCGTTCTGTGTGGCACCAAGGTGACACCGTGTCATCCAAGCGTGTGGTGGTGGCGAGGTCCTCAATGCAACAAGAGGTTCACCTTTTGAACAGTCACACGAGGAGCTGGAAGAGGTGGTTGATGATGGTGAAGGTGGTGGAGGTGTCGACAC